CTCTACCGAAGTCACGGGAGGATGCGGCGATCATCAATATCTTATCAAGGTGCCTACGAATATATCGGATATATCGAATAAAATGTGTTTACAATTACTGCCGAATTTTGATGGAACATTGACGATCATTGATCACCGCGTAAGGAGTATGAGAGACACAGCTCACAGCCCGTTATCTACTAATACGAAATAGTGATTTGGCCAGATGTAATGAAAAGATTCGCAATTGCGGATGTATCGTTCATCTAACAGAGCTTCATTCAAGGGGAAAATCGAATAAACATCCCCAAGATATTGTCACTTTCGTTGAAGTGACACAAAGTCCACTTGAGTGTCATGACTTATGTGAATTCATGCTGCGTATTGTTTCCAATATCATCTGTGCATCGCGATAGAAAGTGTGAAAGTTGGAAGTAGAACATGTCATAACCTGGACCGCCACGGTCTCGAACTGATCAGTCTCCCAACCAGATAATAATAAGGGAAAGCTTCATTCCGGATAAATTAGTGGATCAAAGTGCCCACGTGCTCTTTTTGACTTGATAATGGACAGAAGAAATACACCAAGTGTGCGTCCAAGTTTGGGTCTGAGTCATTCCGACAGCATATTCAAGCGTATCTACTACCAACTGGTTGACCTTCTTATTGACTGACGTCTTAGGGTAACTATTAGCAAAACGCAAACATCAACTGACTGAGCATGAGCACGGCTGTTAGTATGTTATGCAAATAACACCACAAAAATAAAAACGTCGACAATTTTGAAGAGGAAGACTTTGATGTAATTGCAGCCGCGCCCACCGGCGCCCCCAACACCTGCAAACACAAAACTTAATAATACGTGGAATCACATCACATCAAAACTCATTATTTGTCACGACTGAGTAGGCTCATGAACCGCCTTGATGTTTACCTGTCCCTCCCTACAATTTGCATCTTTCATGCTGGCTTTTTAGTTGCCTTAGAAATTACGCCTCCTCTGCAGCAAGCAGCTCTTTATCTCAAGGTGTTTGGGCACCAATAAATCTACCCTAGTAGCGTATAGGTGAAACGGATCAAGAATTTGTGTTACACCTGCTTAGACTACGCAAAATACAGCCCCAGGAAGTGTATCAACTGGGAACAACACGACTACCATATTATAGTCCGTAATTCGCAGAGATATGCAGAACGTAATTGCGTCTCAAAATCTACCACGACTAAAATATGCGAACAGGGCTAGGTATAGAGCCTGAAATATTCCAATTTTATCCTCTCCTCCTCAAACCGTGAACACATGTGCATTCTTCTCATCTCTACTGTTACAGGTACGCAAAACCGACTTTTGACGGAAGGTACTGCGAAGGCATTCCCGAAATACCAGCATATATCCGAGAGTCCTAGACCGCTGAAAGAGATTTTGATGGTTGTGTGATCACTTTTAAGATTGGCAGCATCCCGTCACTAGATACCTGGTGTTAGGAGGTCAACATCACTGTTAGAGAAAGCGAATGTGCTACAGTCGAATAGAATCGTCAACAAAGTATGCAGGTACAGTGAGGGGGTTCCTGTACTCCAGTAAATTCAGCGAGTTAGGAGATGCAGTTAAAATTAAACACTAGCGTCAAGGTCTGCCTCCATTCTCACTAGTTCTAGCCTACATATATGCAAACAACAGTAGCTGCTTTCCTTCGTTTG